CGGGGGACGGCCCCGAGCTGGATGAGGCCGACCTGAGCGCCCACTTGAGTGGCGCCGGTGTCGACTTCCATGATGACGGAAGGCGGGGGCGGGACGTGTGCGTCTGGACACGCGGTGGCTCTCCTTGAGTGGTCCAGGATCTCTCTCACTTTGTCGTGTCCGGCCTCGTTGGGGAACGTGAAAGTCGCTGCTGCGTTGTCGATGGGCCTGATTCCTACCAGTGCCCGCGGACATATCACGATGGTCGCTCGTAACTCGCGAATCGCTGGCGCTACTATGGACGTGGGCGCGTGGACTGGTCCTGCCGTGCGCCCGCGGCTAACTGCGTTAACTCTGACTACCGCATTGCACCACCTCTCGTGGGTGACCAGGGGTCGCTGTTCCAGTCGTGCCCTCTCGCTGGGAGGCTCAGTATCCGGGTGGCTGGATGCTGCGCTGCTGGGTTGAGTCCCTTCGCGCGGTGGCCCCTGCACCTCGGGGTTCCTTTCTGGCGTCGCCTCATTCGCGGGCCCGGGGGAGCAGGTGGCCATGGCGGCCTGCCGTTGTGCGAACTCACGCTGCCATCGGATCCTGCGCCGTCGCCTGTCCACGTCTTCGTGGGAGTGTGTCTGAGACCGCGGGCCGTCGGCGCCGTCGGGTCGGAGCCGTAAGACCCCCTCTAGGACGTTGGTGGCCCACTGTGTTTCGGCCTCCGTTGCTGGGGGTAGGAGGGTGTCCTCTTCCCGCCCGTCGCCGTCTTCTGCCATGCTGGCGTGGTCGTCTATCGGTCTGGGCTGCGCGGGGGAGGCAGGGGCTGCGTTCCCACTCTCCGCCCCATGCGCAGGTGCGCCCGGCGTTGTTGGAGCAGGTGGTTCGAGGACCCGGAGGGCGTCACGTTTATCCTTGCCGCGTCACAGCTGACACTGACGCTCGCCCCTTCTCTGCCGCATTCTCCAGTCCTCGAGACAGTGAAAGCGCGCTCGGTGCCCACATGGTATTATGCTGGGCACCCTACCGATCGTGATGTCCTGGCAGATCGGACATCGCTCCCTCGTGGCATCCATCTGGGCGGGGGGGCAGGCGGTGGGCTAGCCCTAGCCGCGGCGGCTGTCAGTTCGTTGTATACGAAGCGCCCTTGTTGCTCCGCTTCTCTGGTGGAGTCCTGCATGAGACGCGCGAGGTGTCTTGGGGCGCCCCCCAGCGCGCCGGCGCTGAAGGGTTCGTATACAGGAAACGCCTCAGCAGGCATACTGGTGGCCACTGTGGCAAAGCTCGCAAGATGCGCCGGCGATAGCACCGCGGCCCGTCTGAGCCATCTCGCGACAAAGTCGAAGGGTCCTCCATGAATCTGCCTTCTCACGAGAAGTGGTCGCAGCAGAGAGCGATAGTGGGGGCGCAGGATGAGCCACGTCACAGCCGATAGCCACTGCCCTTGATTAGCGCCAGGGCTCGGGATGCCCCTCAGCATGTCGTGTACCCTTTGCGCCGCGGCGCCGTCCACCGAACCGTCGTCGGGCAGCGCGGCGGGTGGAGCGTTGGCGTCTTCGTCGGTCTGGTCCCTGCGATCTAGTGCACTGGCGATGTCGTGGATGCATCCGGACCGCACGCCATTCGGGCTGGCGCGGGATGGGGCGTGGCAGAATTCGCACGCTCGAGCCATTGAGGGTGCGATGGTCGGCGGGCGCGGCAGTGCTGCTGTTGTCGTCTATGCGTCGTGCCTGTGGAGGTCCCTGAGGTGCGGGCGGTTCGCGCGCCCCTTGAGGAGGTGGCGCGCCTGCCCCCTGCGGCCCTAACATAGCGTCGGCTTGCACCCATCCGCGCGGGTCCGCGAGGTCAATCAGGTCCCCCTGTAGCCGCGCATGTAGTTTGCCCCATTCCTGAGGGGAGGGGACGTTCAGACCGCTCCGTTGCGAGACTGTGTGTGTGTGCCTCCTCTCGCAGGATCACGAGCGCGTCGCCGCTCGTCGTCACGTCACGCCCCCCCCCCCCATTCTACCATGACCCGGAAGCCGTTGAATGGCGCCCCCGCAGTCCGCAACGACAGTCGTAGTGCCTCTCCGGCGGCCTCGACAGCTGACAGCCAGAAGAAGGGGACAAGGTACCCGCCCCAAGTGTAGTTCTGTAGCGTGCGATGCGCCATGGCCTGTCCAACGTACGCGATCTCGTTTTGCATGTTCCGCGCTAGCTGTCCAGCGCGGTCTGCAAGCCCGCCTGTCACTCCTATGCGCGTTCGGTTGCTTCTTCAATGTCCCAGGTCGTGGGCTAGGTCGGCGGAATGTCCTGCGTCGGCTTCCATGGGAGTCGTGGGCCAATCGCTGTTGAGGTGTGCTGGGGCTCCGCGCGCACTTTGGCCCCAGAGAGGCGGGGGCGTGCGCGCGCTCGGCACGTTCGCCCGCCGTGACGCTGGCGTCCACTGTGTCACTACCGGCACGCGTTGGCACGGCGGTCGTTTGGCCTGTCCAAGCGCTTGTGCCGTCGGCATCCGCGCGGAGCCGTCTGACCATCATGCGCATCAACGCTCTGCCCAGCGAGGACATGGGTCGCAGGTTGGCGATGTCGCGGCGACGTTCGTGCTGAGCCGCTGCCGTGAAAACTGCGACCCCTTCTAGGGCTACCTCTTGCTTTTCGCCGGTCATGCCGCCCCCGCATTGGTGCCGCGCGAGAAAAAGGAGGTCGTCGGGGAGTTCGGTCTGGCGTCTGCTGAGACACGTCACGTGGGCAATCCAGTCCACGCCCCTGTCGGAGAGCCCGAATTGCACGAAGCTGTTCATGCCTCCCAGTTCGCTGAGGTCGTCGGCTTGCGCTTGGCAATCGTTGGTGCCAAGGGCAGGTGGGATAGTCTCACGCGTGGTGGTGGTGGCTCGCGGTAACCACTCTGCTACCCCGCGGTTCCGCAGGGCCTGCGCTCGGATGACGCATGCTAAATCCGTGGTGTACCGCAGGTTCGATCCGCATAGCGCGGAGAGCGCCGCCGCGGCACCGTGTTCGTGATCGCTCGCCGCTGGGTGCCCATGCGGAGTCTTCCGAATCGACCATCCATTTCTAAGCTAGGAGCAGCTCGCCCACGAGCCAGGAGGGGGTGTAGCTGGCAAGCTGTCCCTCCCCTGGTGAGCATAGCGGTGCGTTGGGGTGGCACGAGGGGGGGGGGGCCTTCTTGGCCACGTCGCCGTGACTGGCCTTGTCGCGGAGAGACGCATGCCCCCATCTCCGTCGGTGTCGGGCAGCAAGAGGGGCACGCCCCCCGAGCCCCGCAGGCGTTGCCCTATGACGTCTGGGCACGCCCTAGCGAAGCCCGCGGGTGACGCGCCGATGGCATCCACCGCGCGGTCCGAGAAGGCGCTCGCTGCTGTGAGTCGTGCCCATGTTAACATGTCGCGCGTGGAAAGCCGTACATTGGGCAGCAGCTGGCCGCGAGCGCCCGCCTCTTGAGGCGCCTGGTCCCTGGCTGCAGCTGCCAGGCGCTCGACCTGAACTTTGTGCAGACTGCTGCCTCCGCTTGATCATCGAGCGAGTGCAAGTAGTGGCAGCTGCGCTTTGCAATGTCTGGCAACGCCACCTGGCTTCAGTGCCCGCGGTCTTTGTCCCCGACTCGGACATGTGAGCAGGTCGCTGCCGCTTGAACTCTCGGCTATGCACCAAGCCCACAGCATCGTTCGCAAAGCCGACCACGCCGACGCCCGAGCACGGCAGGGGGGGCCCGCAGTCAAGCCTGACGTCCGTGCCGCCCTTACCCGTTATGCGCATGAAACCGAAGATGAGGCTTCGCTCGGGGATAGCGGGGCTGTGGCCAGGAGTCTTGAGAACGGCATCGATGCACCAGTTAGGCTCCCGCTCGCCAACTTGCAAAAACTGCTCGCCGAGAGCTGGCACGGGCAAAGCTCCAATTAGTGCCAGCCAACTGCCGAGAAAGACCATGACGCACTGGCCGCAGAGAGCATTATCAATGAGGCATTCCATGATGATGTCTCTTCCCGCCGACGGAGCGCTGCCCTGGACTGCTGCTCGAAGATAGCGCGGACCAACCCCCATGGGCACACCTCGCTCCTCCGCGTCAGGGAGCCTACCTTGCGCTCGATCGGCACTCCACAGCAGCACCGCGTCCTCGTAGTTGCTGACCTGACAGCGGTGCCGATCCTTGGCCCCGCACGCCTGCGCTACGGCACTTGCGCGCTCCAGACGATCGGGCCACAGCAGCGGGTGCTGGCGCGGCACTGGCCTGGCGAAGTAGGGCAGGTCCACCTCAGGGTCGTCCAGCCTCTGCCCAGGCAGCGGCCAGAGATCAGCAGCGCCGCGCACCGCGATGACCTCATCGTTGCTGCTCTGACAGGTGCTCTTGCCCTTCTCCTCGATACTCGCGTCATGTGGGAGGTGACTGCGGGCGGGCAAGGAACGCCAGCAGAGACCAAACCTGCGGCCCTTGGTGAAGTCCTCCGCTTCTAACATCAGCGGCGCGACGCCCACCGCCTGCGAGAACTGGCCCAGCGCTTCACCGACCAGGCTGCGCACATTCTCGACGACCCAGCCGACGTGCTTGCCAACCCCGTGCTCGGAGGCTTCGTCGAGGGTAGAGACCGTCCAGCGCAGCTGGCACCAGCCTCCGTCTAGGTCCTGGCCCACCACGTTGAGGGTAGAGAGATCCTGGTCCGGCCGCCCCATGGTAACGAAGACCCAGTCGGCATCGCGCCTGAAAACTCTCAATCATGCGGGTGAGTCGCTCAAGGTCCAAGGTCTCGACGTTCTCCCGCTCAATGACGCCAGGCCAGCACCGCCGTGCCAGACGCCGCGCGGCTGGCTCTACCTCCGAGTAGAGGTGGGCGGCCACGCTCGTGGGCAGGCGATGAGCGCCCTCGGCAGCAGCGGCCGGCCCAGCGAGCAACTCCATCAGGACGACGTGCGGCCGCCTCCGAATCGTCTGCGGCGCGGCGAAGGGGACGTGCATGGCGTCCTCGCAGCCCCCCCTTGCCTGTGGCTGCCCGCTCACCCCGAGCGAAGAGGCCAGCGGAGTAGCAGCTGCCGCCCACCTGCTCGCTCGCATCCGTTGTAATCTTCCCCGGGTCGATCTTGGCTCTCAAGTCGGCGAGACCACGTGTGGCCGCCATGCAGAAGACCAGGAGCTCGCCGCACATGTCTGAGGCCACAGTTTGCGGATTCCGCCACTGCCCAGCAGCCCCGCACTCGTTCAGGAACCCCACGAACGGCACGCAGACCTCCGCGATGCGCACCGAGCGGCCCAGCACGACGAGCACCGCCTTGGCCGTGACCTGAGGCTGGCCCATTTCCACCATCACGAGCGTTACGAGCAGGAGCTGCTTCTCGACTGCGACTCCAACGCGGCCGCCCATGCCGTCTAGATCAGCACCCATCTGCTCCAGCCCACGCTCACGGTGCTTGGCTTTGCCATTAGCAACTTGGATGCCACTCCTCTGACAGGCAGCGCGCAGCTCAGACTGGACCTCGCTAAGCGAGCCTGCCAACTCATCAAGACGGCCCACCAGGACGATCTCCCCGTGGTCTCCGTCGTTGATGTCGTACTGCACCCAGGCGTGCTCCAGCTTCTCCGCTATCAGGGGCGCCCTCTCTGCCCTGCTGACTCCGATGAGCTCGCCGGGGATCGCCTCGACCGAGGTCATGTAGGGCTGCCAGGCCTCGGGCAACTCATTGCGGCAGAACACTGACACTTGGTCGTCGGATGGTCACAGCAGCACATGCCCTTCAGGGAGTGGAACCGAGACCCACCGCGGCGAAGTGATGAGGGCCCCGATGTCGTCTCGCATCATCCGCTGGTAGCGGCTCGCGGGGACCATGTTGATGATGAGCCGCCGTGCCATCTCCCTGTTGCCACCCTTGAAGATCCAGACGTTGGCGATGGGCGCAGCGAGGCCTAGTTCCACAAGCTCGGCGCCGGAGCGATGCCACTCCGCATCCGATCTCGCCTGGGTAGCCGCCCACTGAACCTCTTCTGGCCACTCGGCCTTGGGCAGCAGCGCCATCGTGGGATCAGCAGACCACCCAGCCACATGCTCCTCGACGATGTCCAGCACACGCACAGCGGCGATACTGCCGCACGGCGGGAGGACTGGTATGTCGCCTCCTACCGCGAGCGGCAAGGCGCGCGTCACCTCCTCGCCTCCATGTGTGTCATCACGCGCAGCAACGTCCTCGTGCCAGTCAGGGCCCTGGAAGCCCTTCGCGGAGTCTGAGGCGACATACCTGGCAGCCCTGCGAATGACCCGCATCGAGCTCCCCTGCGCGGCCGTGAGAGGGCCTGTGGGGACTGGGCTGCCCTCAGCATGTCCGACACATTGGTGGTTCAGGGAACGCGCGACCAGGACTGCCCGGCCCGCAGCGATCGCAGCATCCAGTCCAGCCTCCAGGACCGTGCTCTGCTTCAGCCACTCTGCACTGCACCTCGCGATCCCAGGAGCGTCAGGAATAGGAAGCGGCAGCACCTCGCGCATCCGCGCGGGGCGCGCTCGCTGTTCTGGCGGAGCGCTACGAACAAATCCCCCGACATCTCCTGGAGCACCGTGTACTGCTTCATAGAGCATCATGACTAGGCCGAACCGCGGTTGCCCACCAGGCCTCTCGGCTCTGGCGTGCAGCTTCCCCCAGCGGTACCTCTGCACAGGTCCTCGCATGCGCAGACCATCGCGCGCCCCTGCAGCACCCGCGTGGCCGCCAGCAGCAAACTCCAGGCTCTGGCCTGCCTGGCTGGCGCTCAGCGTCACCCCTGCCACCAGGGCTGTCTCGCCACCCTGGTCCGGGTTGCGCCGCGCCTGCGGCCTGGAGCTGCCCCGCGTCCGCGACCTGCAGAGGTCGCTCCTCCTGGCCCGCTCTGCCGAGCCACCTCCGCGACGACCGCGGGCAGCTTCCAGTCGCGTTGACTCTCGTCGGAGCAGCGGGGGTTCGTGACCTTCGACTTCTTCGGCGTGAGCTGAGGGCGGGGATCGGCTGGCGTGCCGTCGAGACTCTCGTCCGCGAAGGCTGCCAGCTTTGGAAGTAGCCTCCGCTGCGCTGCTGCTGCTGCTGCTGCCGCTGCAGGGCCCCCGCCGAACCTCGGTGCTCCTGGCGCCGATCAGAGAGGGGGGTCCCTGCTTGGTTGGCACCGCGCTGCTGACCTCTACCCGCTCGGCTGCATCCTCTCCGTCGCGGGACGCGCCGGCGGGTCGACTCTTGCTGGGGATCAGCGCGAGCCACCGGCCACCGCGACAATGGCCGTCCCGATGTGCCATCGCCCTGGCCTTGAACTCCTGCATGGGCAAATCGTTGCCCTCAACGACCAGCCCACAAGATAAGCCGTCGAACGCCTCGCCCAGCGGGTGCAGCACTCGCACTCCGTCCGCGTCGACCGTCCGCAGCGGGTATGCCGCGTAGAACACCGCGTTGTGGTACTGCGTCACGTAGGGGCTGAGGGGGACCGCCTGGCTCGGGCCCGCGAGCAGATGAGGGACCTGCCTCCTGGGGTGCGCAGGCCCCCTCCCCAGGTGGACTCCCGGTCGCTGCTTTGCGATCCTCTGGATCAAATGCCGCCTGCCGGTGATCCCCAGGTAAGCGTCGCGACCAAGCACGCCAGAGCCCTCGTCGCTGAGCACGCAGACAACCACGCCGCCCGGCAACACCGTCGTCAGCATCTCGGCGGCCCTCTCGCACCCAGCAGGCGCTGCCGAGACTCGAGCACCACTCCCAGCAGCTGTGGGGCCCTGCGCGCGCTGCTCCAGCGCCTGAGAAGCCCCAGGCATGACATCGTTCATGGCGACCGCTCGGGATCCGGGGCCACACCCCGAGCCTCCTTGCAGGCTCTGGCCCAGCTGGGCAAGGCGCCCGTCTAGGGCAGGGACATCGAGCGCCCGCCCTAGCCCAGCGATCTCCGAGGCGTGTGGGCCCTGGCCGAGCGGCGCTGCGCCACAGCGAGCGGCCCTCAGCTCCTCCCCGCAGACCCACTTGGCTGCTGGCTCGGCCACGTCGCCCCCCGCTCACTTTGTTCCTGGGGCCGGGGACTCCGGCGGTGGCTGCAGCGGCGCAGGCGGCAGAGCAGGAGGCCGCGCAGCGCCCTCGTCGCCTGACCCAGCCGGGCTTGCTCCAGGCGTCGGGCAGCCAGCCGTCTCGACACGCAGCCCTCCATCAGGCCGCGGGGCCAAGTGGTACTCCGCCTCCAACGTCGCTTGGTCGCGTGGGTCGGTCAGCCGCCAGATATCGACGTGCTCGACTCCACAAGCGTCGATCGGGCAGCCTGCTGAACACTCCTCCTGCGCGTTGCCGCAGAGGTGGTACATCATGCCGAGCCTCCCGCCCGGCATGCCTTCGGCCTGGGCAAGACAGCTGAAGTACCCGACTGCAGCCCACCACGTGCAGCGCCCGCAGGTAGCGGTCGGCTGCTGACGCCGCCTCCGCGCTGGCCTCGTCCAGCACGTGGACGCCCTCCGTGAGCAGCAGCTCGCGGCCCTGTCCAGCCCCTCGTAGTCGCAGGTCCTCGCCTCCAGGCGATCCTCGGCGGCAATCCCCGCAGCGCCCGGCAGCTCTCCGCTCGACCTCCCGTCGAACCATGCGCCTCGAGGGAAAGGCCAATGGGACCCTCGAGCCCGCATCCGCCGCCAGCGCCTCACGGCACCATCCGCACGAGGCTCTGCGCGGTGCCCGGAAAGTGAGGCCTGAGCCGTCTGCGACCAGCAGAACAGGGCGTGGCAGGCCGAGAGAACTGCGGGGGACCTCGCCCGAGGTCCCCCGCTCCTCCTGCCCCAAAGGGGCCTAAGCCAAAGTGACTACGGGTTCAAACGTGGTTTAAACGGCGAGCGCTTCCTGGGGTATGGAGGCCGCATAGGCCCCCTTTAAAGGATACCATAGATACGCACACATAGATGTATATGTATACGTACATGTATTTGTGTATATAATTCCCAGCCCTTCTGTGGTTGAGGTACTCGTTTTGAATCGTGCACCGTGGTCGCGTCTCCTCTCCTTCCCTCCTTCCCGACTCCCTCCCCCTCCTCTTCCTCAGATTCCTCCTCCTGCGTCTCCTGCATGCGAGGACTCAGTATCATCACCACCATCATGAGCATCATCATCATCAGCAGCATCATCATTATCAGCATCATCATCAGCATCATCAGAATCAGCATCATCAGCATCATCATCAGCATCATCATCGTCATCGTCATCGTCATCGACATCGTCATCATCAGCATCATCAACATCATCATCATCATCACCATGATATCGATATCAGCATCGCCATCGTCATCGTCGTTATCAGCATAATCACCATCGTCATCATAGGTAACATCATCATCATCATCATCGTCATCACCATCATCATCACCACCACCATCGTCGTCATCATCAGCGTCGTCATCTGCTTCATGGGGGCTGCGACCTGCCAAAGGCTCGCCAGTCTTTGAATTCCTGGGAGGGACAGCGCAGTGAGGTCCTGCGGGGATCTGGATGAGGCTGTGCCGTCCCTGGGTGGCTGCGATCTGCGAAACTGCCGCCACTTTCTGAGCTCCTGGGGGGGGCAGCGTAGTGACGTCCTACGGGGACCTAAATGAGGCCCCTCGCCGTCCCTGGGGGGGGGGGCGGGGGGGCTGCGATCTGCCAAACTGCCGCCAGTTTCTGAGCTCGTGGGAGGGCCAGCGCAGTGACGTCCTACGGGGATCTGGATGAAGCCTCGCCGTCCCCCCCGGGGGGCTGTGATCTGCGAAACTGTCGCCACGTTCTGAGTTGTTGGCAGGGCCAGCGCAGTGAGGTTCTACGGGGATCTGGATGAGGCCTCGCCGTCCCTGGGTGGCTGTGAAACTGTCGCCACTTTCTGAGCTCCTGGGAGGGCCAGCGCGGTGACGTCCTACGGGGATCAGGATGAGTCCTCGCCGTCCCTGGGTGGGGGCTGCGATCTGCGAAACTGTCGCCACGTTCTGAGCTCCTGGCAGGGCCAGCGCAATGACATCCCACGGGGATCAGGCCGAGGCGTCGCCGTCTCTGGGCTGCTGCGTTCCGCGAAGCTGTCGCCACTTTCTGAGCTCCTGGGAGGGGGCAGCGCAGTGACGTCCTACGGGGACCTGGACAACGCCTCGCCGAAACTGGGGGCTGTGATCTGCGAAACTGTCGCCACGTTCTGAGCTGCACGCAACTTTCTGAGCTCCTGGGAGGCCCAGCGCAGTGACGTCCTACAAGGATCTGGATGAGGTCTCGCCGTCCCTGGGGGACTGCGATATGCGAAACGGTCGTAATTTTCTGAGCTCCTGGGAGGACCAGCGCAGTGACGTCCTACGGGGATCTGGATGAGGCATCGCCGTCCCTGAAGTGCTGCGAACTGCGAAACCGACGTAACGTCCTGAGTTGTTGGCAGGGCCAGCGCAGTGAGGTCCTACGGGGATCTGGACGAGGCCTCGGTGTCCCTGAGAGCTGTGATCTGCGAAACTGTCGCCACGCTCTGAGCTCTTGGGAGGCCCAGCGCAGTGACGTCCTACGGGGATCTGGATGAGACCGTGCCGTCCCTGGGGGCTGCGATCTGCGAAACTGTCGCCACGTTCTGAGCTCCTGGGAGGGCCAGCGCAATGACATCCTACGAGGACCTGGAGACACTGCCACAACTTTCTGAGCTCCGGGGAGGGTCAGAGCAGTGAGGTCCCACGGGCCTCAGGCTGAGGCCTCGCCGTCCCTTGGCGGGGGGCTGCGATCTGCGAAGCTGTCGCCACCTTCTGAACTCCTGGGAGGGCCACCGCAGTGACGTCATACGAGGACCTGGATGAGGCCTCGCCCTCCCTGGGGGGGGAGGGGGGGGGGCTGCGACCTGCGAAACTGTCGCCACCTTCTGAGCTCCTGGGAGGGCCAGCGCAATGACGTCCCACGGGGACCTGGGTGAGGCCCCGCCGTGTGGGAGGGGGAGGAATGGGGGGGCTGCGATATGCGAAACGGCCGCCACCTTTTGAGCTCTGGGGGGGGCCAGCGCAGTGACGTCCTGCGTGGACCTGGATGAGGCCTCGCCGCCCCTGAGGGGCTTCGAGCTGCGAAACCGTCGCCACTTTCTCCAGGGAGGGCCAGCGGAGTGACGTCCTACGGGGGCCAGGCTGAGGCCTCGCCGAAACTTGGGGCTGCGATGTGCGAAACTGTCGCCACCTTCTGGGCTTCTGGGAGGGCCAGCGCAATGACGTCCTACGGGGACCTCGATGAGGCCTCGCCGAAACTGGGGGCTGCGATCTGCGAAACTGTCGCCACGTTCTGAGCTCCTGGAGAAGCCCACGCATTGACGTCTTACGGGGAGCAGGCTGAGGCCTCGCCGTCCCTGAGTGGGCTGCGATCTGCGAAACGGTCGCCAATTCCTGAGCTCCGGGGAGGGTCAGAGCAGTGAGGTCCCACGGGCCTCAGGCTGAGGCCTCGCCGTCCCTGGGCGGCTGCGATCTGCAAAACGGTCGCCAATTCCTGAGCTCCAGGGAGGGTCAGAGCAGTGAGGTCTTACGGGCATCAGGCTGAGGCCTCGCCGTCCCTGGGCGGCTGCGATCTGCGAAACTGCCGCCACGTTCTGAGCTCCTGGGAGGGCCACCGCAGTGACGTCCTACGGGGGCCAGGCTGAGGCCGCGCCGCCCCATTGGGGCTGCGATGTGCGAAACTGTCGCCACTTTCGCGTGCTGCTGGAAGCGCCAGCGCAGTGGTGACTTACGGGGATCAGGCTGAGGTCTCGCCGTCCCTGAGGGGCTGCGATCTGCGACGCTGCTGCCACTTTCGTGAGCTGCTGGGAGTGCCAGCGCAGTGGTGACCCGCGGGGATCAGGCTGGGGCCTCGCCGTCCCTGCTGGGCTTCGATCTGCGAAACTGCCGCCACTATCGTGAACTGCTGGAGGTGCAGTGCAGTGGCGACCCACGGGGATTAGACTGAGACCTCGCCGTCCCTGGGGGGGGACTGCGATCTGCGAAACTGTCGCCCTTTTCGTGAGCTCCTGGGGGTGCAAGCGCACTGACGTCTTACACGCATCGGGATGAGGCCCCGCCGTGTGGGGACCTGCGATCTGCGAAACGGTGCCAGCTTCTGAGCTCCTGAGAGGGCCAGCGCACTGCCAGAGGCCTCGCCCCCCCTGAGGGGCTGCGATCTGCGAAACAAATCACCACCTTCTGAGCTCCTGGAAGGGCCAGCGCAGTGGTGTCCTTTGCACACCAGGATGAGGCCTCGCCGTCCATGGGGGGCTGCGATCTGCGCAACGTCACCACTTTCGCTGGCTCCTGGGACGCCCAGCGGAGTGACCTTCGACCGGGGCCACAATGAGGCCTCGCCGCTGTGAGCTGCGAGCTGCGCTAAAGTCTTCAATCCCCCGGGTAATTATATAGTGCGTGATTATGATTATGTTGTGTATGTATACATATATAGTGCGTGATTATGTTTATGTTGTGTATGTATACATGTGTGTGGGTCAATGATATAAGCTGGAATCCATGAAATATCAGGAGAAGGCCTCCTCCCCCCTCCTCCCCCGTCCTACTTGTCCTACTCCTCCGACTACCCCCTCCTCCCCCTCCCCCTCCCTCCTCCCCCTCTCCTCCCCTCTCCACCTCCCCCCCTCGTCCCCCTTCCTCCTCCCCTCCTCCCCATTCCACCTACCCCCTCTTCCCCCTGCTCCGCCTCCTCCCTTTCCTCCCCTCTCCTCCCCCCTCGTCCCTCGTCCTCCTCTTCATAAAGCTTGGAGCCAAAATACTCAAGGCTTGTGTGCTCACACTATCCCTTCTAACATTCGCGCTGTGGGCAGCTCTGCATATGCCCGCGCCCCCCCCACCCTGGACCTGCACAACTGGCAAGGCTAGGTTATCCTGGGGGGGGTGGAAGGCAGGGCAAGCCCGACAACCCGGGGTATCGCCGGACCTTAAAAAAACAATATCCTGCTCCGGAGGCCATCTTGGCCCTGCTGGGAAACCGAGGCCACTCAGAGGGAAGGCCGGCAGCAAACGGGCGTTGAGGGGAACGAGTCCTGTACACATCGGGGGTGCGCAAACATGGATGAGCGATCCATGGATTTGGCGCGCGGTCGCCAAATCCATGGATCGGGGGAGGTGCCCTCCCCACAATGTGGCCGGTGCCGCCTCGCTCGTCGGCAGAAATCCGAGATTTCCCACAGAAACGGGACCCGTCGCTAATCCACGCCCCCTTGATCCATGTTTTCGATCGCCTGAACCCAGCAGCAGTCTCCCAGGGCCACTGCGGCGTTTACGGGACCCGCGCTGCGCGCGTAAACTTTGGGCGCTCCGCGCGTATGTCTTGGATCTGCGCTGGGCCTCTGGCGCCGCCCCTGGCGCGCGGAGCGCGCCAGGGAGGGGGGGCCAGCGCAGATCCAAGAAATCCGCGCGGAACGCCGAACATTTATTTTTATGTGTGCTTGTTTCTTCTTGCACACACATGTTTGTTTGATCCGCGGGTCGAGAGCGCACCTCTTCCGGTCGAAGCTGAGCGGGCCGCGCGAAGCTTGAATTAACCAGAGATGGGGGGGGAAAAGGGGGGCGCAGCCTCAGAACGAGGCCGGGAGGAGGCAAAGCCTCGGGACCAGGCGGTGCCGTAGCCGACGCACTTGC